AAAAAATCGCACATGCCCGGGGGGGAAATTACTCTTCTTCACGCCTTTCTACTGCAACTTGCACAGACCAAAAACAAAGCAACACACAGGTGTTGTGTAACTTTGTTATCAGTCCGTTTGAATTCCACTTAACTATAGTTCCGGCATATTATCGTCTGACAGTTTTAATTAAACGTTCCGATTAATTAGCCGTAACGCAATTAATTGTGATATGGAGTAATCTTGGCATCTCTGCGACGGACAGGATTAATAATAAGACAACCAGAGGGTTAAAGGTTAATGTGGGGCACTTTGGAGATGAAGTTATAGGAGAGGTGGAGTGTGAATATATCTGATAGAAGACATTGGAGATGGAATCACCAGGAAGGAGGAGAAGAGCAAGACCTCAGAGAAGGGGGTTTGTGGGTGTCTTAGCAGAGGGGGCCGGAGATTGGACCTCAGGAGCCATAGGTTGAAGATATCTGGTCAAGAAGATAAAAAGAACATGAAGACAGATGCAGGGTGGTATACAGACATCATAATAAACATCAAATATACACTGCAAAGACATGGTGGTGGTGGTGGTGGGTGGTGGTGGTTGGGGAGGGGGGATGTCTTCTCCTTTTGATCATTGCCCTGGAAGCTCATCTGCAGCAGCTCTGTGAGTCTGATTGTTGGGCTGATCCTCATCCATGTCTCTGTCTATTGTTCATACAGCAGCACTGAGACATAAATAACACCTAACTGAGGAGCATGATAATGAGACTGGATCTGTTCATTACTCTGAAAGAACAAGTCCAGACAGGGTCTTTTAAAGAAGTGTTACAGTCTGACGTCTCTGCACCAGTGCCCAGACACCGTCACACACCATCATCTCCACACACTCGACATGCATTAAGGTGCTGTTTGAAAACCAGAACAGGTGAAAAGAACCTTTGACACCATGCAGTATTTGACTTTTATTTATAAGGTTTAAGAATTCTAAATATAATTTCCCACTTGTGTGGAATTCTTAGAGCTTTTACAATACATTCAAGTTAATAAAGTGTTCTATATTCTTTAAGAGAGTTTGGAAAATATCTTAAATGACGGTACTCACAAATATCCATTCACTCACCATCATTATTTTTTCAGTCAGTGAAATGCTGGAAAACACAAATCTGGGGACCTGGAGACGGATTCAATCAATTATTTCAGAGCTGGAAATTAAACAACATTAGTAAGAAAATTGACTCTATGTTCTATCAGGACCTCCTTCATTTATCTATTCCTTTCTGGGAGCAGACTAGTTGGAGTCAATACCAGCAGTAATCTGATGAGGGCAGGATTACACCTAGCACGGTTAGTCAGTCCATCATTGGGCCACATGTAAAGACAGATAAACATTCACACTCACATTCACACTGTTGGTCAAGTTAGAGTGTCCACTTTACTTCATCTGCATGTTTTGGACCAAATGTCCCAGGGACCGGTTCTGGTCCACAGACCAGGGATTGGGGATCCTGTTCTAAATTACACCCTGTCACAGTGGACCTGAGCAGTTAAATTAGAACTGTTGGATGACAAGTCTCAGACTTGCTTAATTATCCTGCACAGAGACGTTTGGATTTGTTTGTACAGAATGAATAAATGAATCATTTTTGAATTATTGAACAACAACAAGTAGCGGCCTGTGTGTCTGATCTAATTAGTCCTGGTGTTGGCACCACTGACGCAGTGGAGGTTTCATACTGCAGTCATTTTCAAACGTGAAGACTTGGGTCTGTTTGGATTCCTGAAAGGGTCGGTGAAAATAAAATAACACACCCACATTTATCGACTCACGAGGACAAGGAAGTCAGGGATTTCGCAGAATGAGGACAAACATGTATGAATTAAACATCACAGGATTCCTGTCACTGCTGTTTCTCCATGCTAAGAACAGACAGACATCTATCAGAGCCTTCACGCACAGGAACTAGTCTGTGCTGAAGACTTGAAGGGGAAAAAAAAGCTAGTTAAAGTGACAAAGACATCAGTGCTACTTTAAGAGGAAGTTTGCCGACAGTGGGAGGCTGGTTGTCATCACCACAGGAATGAGACGACGGAAAGACATAAGAGCCAGGATGTGCCCAGAATAAATGTAGAGATGCTTTGTCTTCACGCAGAGGAAGAAAACTGTCACATTATACTTTAAAAAATGCAAATAAAAAAGGGAAATGAGACCTGGGCTGGGATTTGGGAGGCAGAGTGTCGTGTATGAAATTCCCGATTCAGACTGTGTGTGATTTTTTTTCATCTAGACTTATATAAGAAACAATGCTACACTATCTAGTTCAAAGCTATGAAAGACATGCATGAGGACAGCAAGAAAAATGTGAGCTGTGCAGTCAGATTGACTGATGGGTTCTTGTTTACAAAGGTTCTATGAAACAGCTGGGTTACAGAAAACACAATGTTCGTTCATCAGACTAGGAGTGAAATGGAGGGAGACATGAGAAGATCTCACACAGAACTGGGTCCAGATGGAGTTCTGGACCGTGTTTTGGAAAAAGAACGTTGGAGGACCAGGTAAAGAAAAAGAACAATCTTTTGTAGAAACAAGGTGAGGTTTAGGGCAGTGATGGTGGGACATAGATTACTTAGAAGATCAGACTGGTATTTGGTGATGCAGTGTAAGAGCTGCGTAGAAAATGAACCATCAGGAACAGTTAAGCGGTTGCAGCAACATCATTCTGAAGTTCCTGGCAACAAACAGTGGAGGCACTGCTGCACCTCCAGACTGTTCTTCAAGATCTCTGAGACTAAAGAGACATCTCACTTTGGGGTTTGCCTCCAAAAGTCTGACCACGTCAGGATTCATCATTGACTGTGTGTCATGTGACCACACGCACACACATACGTACAAAATCTGTGAGAATAAAAATGAAACAATTTGAAACACAAAATGAAGCAACAAAGGCATATCACGGCCAATTTCCAGTTTTCTTTAAAGATTACAGACCCATTACATTCTCATCTCATTAAAAAAATAACACATTAGAAAAATACAAGTCAATGAATCATTTTGATTTCTGTAACATATATCCTATATATATATATATATACATATATATATATATATATATATAAATCAGAGTGAGAATCAGAGAGAAAAATGAACCCACATTTCCATTTGTGCCACCTTTTCCGAAGCCATCGCGTGCAGTGTTCGTCATCCTTCATTCACAATTAATAACAACAGAACAAGATTCAACAAAAAGAAAAAAAAAATTGTTTACTTTCATTAGAAGCTGCAGCAGCGACAGAATCAGACTCAGCCGGGATAATAAAATATATCAGTTTCCTTCATTTGTTAGACCCACAGCCATTTGCATAATAAAAGATACATTTCATAAAATATACAAAGCGATTCCTTCATTATAAAAAAAAAATACAAAAGTAAAGTAATCAAAGTTAGTGGTTTTTTATGAAGTGTTTTATAACTTTGTGCAGCTGATCTGACTGCAGAGAAAAAAAATCAAGACTTTTTCCCAACGGCCTCACGGCCACTCAGCGTCTCCTAATATGAGAAACTGTCCTCACTTAGTGTGTGTTTGTGTGTGTGTTATTATCATGCTGTAACTAAAATTTTTCAGACCAAAAATCTTCACAGCCACCAAAACCAGATCCACACGAGTCAGAATCTTGTTTATATAAATTAAAGGATAAAAATGTGAATCATAGTTTTAGTTAGGTGTTAATTGATCAGGTATAGGGTTAATAATAATTAGGTAAACTGATAGTGAAAAGTTCTGAGCCATTCTCACCGACAGGAACTTTGACTTTGGCCCTAAACTAACAGACCGTTTGTTAAATTAATGTAAAAAAAAAAAATGTTTGAATTATAAAAAATGTCAAATCGTTCCAACTCCAGTAATGTTAATATGTCAATATGCATTTGCATATATATGTATATATATATGTTTATACATACATATGTATCTGTAGTTTTAGTTATATAATATATATACATACACAAATATACATATAGTGTATACAAGATATATATAATCCCACATATATATTCACATATATACACATATAAATGTACAATTTAAGTTAAGAATTCTGAGTTGGTCTTTTTGGTATTTTTATAATTAAACTACAATATTATTTTCTACAGAATGCCACAATTATATGTATCGCTTGTACTGCTTGAAGAATGCATTACATTTTTACAATTTTTCTTAGGATATTAGAAATATTTATTTGCTGAATGATGTTGCTTCATGTTTTGGTCTGTGAAAGATCTGATCTGATATCAGTTACAGCCTGGAAATGAAGTGACCTTTGGGAACACTGGGTCAGACAAGGAGACATGAGACGGGGAACAAAGCTTCTTTTCTCTGACAGTCCAGCTCCACATTCCTCTCATTCTGCTGGGCACGGCCTGACCTCAGCTACAGCCCTGTCTGTGTCCGTTGGGGATGTTTTTGTCCCACTTGGTTTTGGAGGTCAGGAAATCCTGATAAGGACAGAGTTGTTGGCTCCAGCTGAGGGTTTGAGATCCGTGCATGTGTTCCTTCTCTACAGAAGGTGAATCGCAGATGCTCAGATTACAGTGTTAGAAAAAACCAAAGATCTAGCTGCTGACACGGACGAGGACGATCCAAAAACAACAGGTTGTTTTCCGTAAATGTCGCTGCTCAGTCTTTTAGATTTTCTATTAAAACAAAATTAATCAAAAATACTTTGGTGCTCTGTTTTTTTCATCACTGGAAGATGTACAAAACCCCCCACAAACATTTCCAGCTGAACTGCTAAAGTATTCATTTGGTCTGTCACTTCATTTCTATATTCATAAATAAAAAACTGTTTTATTTTCTGCTTATGAAAACCTTATGACACATTTTGCTTTACACCTATTCAAAAACATTTTCTCGGTCTCTTCTTCCACATGCCATCTACAGCATTTATCTTGATATTCCATCTCATTTAGGAACAATAGAAAATGTCCACTTCAGTTCAGTTAGTCAAAAGTTTGTCTCCCGTCTCAAGGACACCACAATTTAAAAAAAACACAAATCAACCTGAATCTATTAATAATGTATTTATATTGACTGGAAAATTGGTGCATACCACATTTTATCAAGGAGTTCATGTTGCATTGTATTTGTCATGATATATACAGTATATACATTTTTAATAAGGGCAGAATTTGGACATTTTGGTCTTGATCATTTTAAATCATGGTCAGAAAGACAGTCCATGATCCTTGGGCTGAATCAGAATCAGAGTCCACACATAAATGTTTAATGTTTATGAGTTTGGAAAGGTCAGAGTCCACCCCACAGTCAAACACTGAATTGGTGTCGGAGTGAACTAAGACCCTTCTTTATTTTATTCCAGGATCTAAGGGAATAAAGCTTAAATATTAATGAGGTTCAGGTTCAAACGACTTCCTCGTTCAGACAGAAATGACACCTCTCACGACAACTCTTGTACCAACTGGACTCAAAGTGAACTTTTCCCTTTGAACCTCCTCTGTCCTCACACGTCCTCAACCATTCATCTCTTCACACTTGTTTCCTTTCCTTCTCCTTCTTAGTCTTACTTCTGTTTTAAGCACGTTTTCGTTTGACGTTATCATTTACATAGTGGTTCAAAAATAGCAGCTTTTCTAAGGGATGGGTTTATAACAATCAGTTACACTGTTTGGATTAAAATCTAAAAGCTTTAAAATATATGAACACTGTGGATGGAAATAAAAATATTTTCTATCTCATGTAAAGACATATTTGAATAAAAACATTTACATTCATTTCATTTTTTGCTCATGTTTCAGACAAAGCACATGACTGATATGTCATAACAAATAAAAGAAGATAAAAGCACTGAGATTATCAGAATTTCTGAAGGTCTGATTTTTTTTTTTTACTTTAAATTTTAAGACCATAATTGTGATCTTCTAATTCTAGAAAAACTTAAACTCTAAAATGTTAAAAAGCAAGACGTTTCTGGCCTCCTTGTGGCTACTAAAGTTCTTTGTTCCCTTTTTTTAATATTATTTGCAGCTCATTGAAAAAAGAATTATTAGACTAGAAAGCCTTGTTTGTGGACCAGATGTTTGTTTTCTACTCAAACGACAGCAGATCAGGGTGGGGCTCTGCGTCCTCATTGCTCACTGTGTTTCCTTTACTGCAGGGGGCGCCGTTACCCAGCAGGACGTCTTCACCCAAACTGATTCGACAGGGCGTTTTTCCAGGGCAGGGTGTGGAGGCGAGCCGAGAATCTGGACCTGTGGCCTTCTGCCAGATGTCGCAGGGTTTGGCTCTGGGCTCCAGCAGAGGAGGATCTTTGTTGATGAGGTCCGGCACCGAGAGCTGCAGCTGAGGCTGAGGTTCTTCCTGGTCTCCACCAGTCCCCCTGTCACCTGTTCCATCTTCTCCACCTGTCTCTTCAGCCTCCTTAGTGGTGCAGCCTGTCAGCTCAGGATGAGCCGGTGCTGTCTTCTCCGTGTCATCCGATGGAAAATTGATGTCTGCTGACTTCTCTGCCTCCATCCTTATTATCTTCTCCTCCATCTCCTCCACCTCCTTGTCCTCCTGGTGCTGCTGCTCCTCCTGGATGATCAGAGGTGTCTTTCCAGGTGAAGAGAGGAACGACGAGGAGTCTGCAGGTTCCGGGGAGGAGACCACAGGATCAGAGGAGATCATCATGTCCTGCGTTGTCTTCAGGGCTCGGGGAAGGCGCTTCTTCCCCGTTGGTGGTGGAGGGTCCAGACGGGGGAAGGTGTCAAAAGAGGAGATGTGACTGAAAAAAACAAACAAAAATCATCAGAGTGGGAATTACACTCAGGAAGTTCCATTTATTTAAGTTGATGGGGACAGAGACAGATGTAAACAGTGTTGTAATGGATGAAGAATATAAAATCCTTTATGGTCATTTTGAAAGTTTGAATTTTTACTGTTTGTAACTTTATAATTTTCAACACAATTCCAGTGAATTTTCCCATGAAAAAAACATAAACCTGACAAAGTCAGATTTTTTTTTTAGAAAATAAGTTCAACACTATTCATATACGTCAAAGAACAAAGGCTAAATACATTAATGTAACAGAATCAAATTATAATCTGCAGTTTAACCTCTGCATGATATCATTTTATTTTTGGTTATATTTAATTTAATTTATATAAATATGGCTTTAGTCAAGTCAGAAGAGTAGACGCTGCCCTCTTGTGGCCATAAATGATATGATGTAGAATTTTTATATACAAGTCGTTTAAAAATATATAATTTGCAGGACCAACTGAAGTTGATGTATAACGGGAAAACGACAGGGATGTTATTTCATATTGATTAATAAGAGATTATATTCTTAATGAGAGCAGCAGCACGGTTTTAAATCCACCTCCTCCCACCTCCTGTATAATTATGATAGCAATAATTACATGCAATTAAAAGTGTTTACACAAACACGCTAATTTCTCAAGCTGTTCACTGCACCGACGGGAGAATTACCACCATAAATATCATCCCATAGTGGCAACAATTACAGCTGTGACATCCTTCACTGGAGCCGGAGGCGACGCAGAGGCAACATTAAAAAAGTGCTGGGCTGCAGAAAATCAGCAGAGGAACTATTTTCTTTTCTTTTTGTTTGTTACATAAAAAGGTCAAAACTTATTAACAGTTTGAATAATGTGATATTTCATACACAAGTTATGGCATATAATACGTAGAATCTCACTTTCAGGATGAGGAATAGTTTTATTTACTTTGAAAACATCTGTTTGTGATTTGTTCTGATTCTACTGAAGAAATAACTGATCTGTACTTAAATAAAAAACAATTTTAGATGCATTAAAAATGACATTAAAGAACCAGAGATCAGATTTAAATTAAATATTTTAAATATCTATGGGAGATTGATGAAGTTGACTCCCATCTAATCTCACAGTAATAATAACCATCACTTATTCAAAACAGAATTTTAAAAAATTAGGCAAAAATATAAGGCTCCATCACAAGGCCACCAACACAAATTATATATATATATATATATATATATTTTGTAGAACTTTATGACAAAATATATTTATGGTGAGTCTGAAATGTACCATTACAAACAAATGCACACATGCACACACACACACCTGTTGCCAGTGGTTTGGTTGACTTGGTCCATGCGACTCCAAATAGCCCCCACGTTTTTGTTGACCTCGGTGACACCAATGTCCCCGAGATGGTTAGTCTCCTTTCGCCTCAACAAATCGTTGACCTGAAAGGAAGGAAGTTAGACAGGAAGTAGAATAGAAGAAGATATTTGATTATGTTTTCTTTATCACACCTGAAAAGACAAAACCCCAAACTAAGTTCTAAGGTGAGTTTAAAATAAAGTCTTAAATATTATTATAATAATAATATTAATTTGAATTGATTGAAATTAAACAATATCTTAATAATGAACAAAACAGCAATTAAACAGTTTTTTTAGCAGCCTATGGTAAGTGCCCCGTGTTCAACAACACGACGAAGTTCGAAGTACTTCTACTTTTAATCGAGTCCATCAGAAAAACCACTGTGAAAAGTTTTTTGCTGCAAAACTCAATTTTCCATTCCTGTGTGTGAGGTACTGACCTTTGCCCCCACAGCTTTACCCAGGTTAATGGCATTTTTCAGTCTCTGCTGGCCTCCAGACGATGTCGAGTCCACACCGCCGGAGCCCAGGTTTGGATTGACTGAGGCTGGGGAGCGCCGAGCCGAGGGCTGAGCTGGCCTGGAAATCTGAGGACTCTGCTGCTGAGCAACGGAGTTCTCAAACATACTCTGATCAACTGGTAAAAAAAGGAGAGAAGTGAAGAAAAATGTGTAAATACACAGCAGGATTCAGCTACACACAACATGAAGGGGGAGCTGACATCAGTGGGATGTTTTCAGGGACGATGAGATGCAGAAGTCGACGAAGATGAAAGATCCCTTGATATCGTCAACGTGTTCCCGTCTTTCTCATCACTAAAAACAGAACACCTCCCGCCTGTTCCTTTAAACTCTGCTGTAAACGCTGAACCTGCACATGTGGAGCAACAGAAGGGAGGTTTATTGCTACAAAGTTGGAGCCATTTGTTATTTTACCTTCTGTCTCAGTTTAAATTTATCACCAAGGCTGTGAATCCATGCAGAATTAAGTTTTCAGATTTGGGCAAAAAAAATTTTTAGTGCAACTTTACAAAAGATTTATTTTCTGTTATGATTCACCTTCACAGAACACAGATGTCAAGACTTTTTTGGACCACCAGCATGGAAGGAAACTTTTTTTAATAACAGAAAATTTCTGTACTTTTGTCTTAATTCATTTTTAAATAACGTGTTGCCTTTTTGACAGCATGGTAAAATATTAACCCTGGGCCTCAGGTTTCTTTTTCTTTTTTTATATCGTGTCCCTTATTAAAGGCTGGGTTATGTGCCAGACCATCCACATTGTTAGCCACAAACAAACAACGTTTTTAAACATGATCAGACAGCAGGATCGTTGGGCCTGGACCTTCTGTCATGTATGAATTCATGAATCACCTGTGAAACCTCGGCTTTGATGGCACACATTTAAACATTAATCCCATATGTTACATACACAGGAATGGAGTGAAGAAAAATGTCTTGAGAAATCACACAACATGCAGGGGTCAAGGGGTCAAAGCAGTGAAACGGTGAGTCGTGCACATAGTAATAAATAAAACAGAACGTAAAAAAGCTGCAGGGCAAAAAAAAAAAAAAAATCATGAATCAATCTGAAATCTAGGGTACAACATGATGTTCTTACCTCTTAGGCAGAAATGTTTCTCAGAATGCATTAAATGAGACATAAAAAAAAGAGAGTTCAGATCATTTTACCAGAAGAGGTGAATTATTGAGCTGACTTCGCTTTGACCCATACATCATGAAGGGAAATTAAAGGTAGGAGCCTGGAACAGAATGTTTCATATTCAGCAGGTCCATCATCCAGATAAATAGAGAGCAGGTATCATCATGTGACATCAGATAGAAGCACAACAGCAGCTACGTTGATGAAAGCCAAACACTGATGCCTGGGCTTCACTTACTGTTCCAATCTAGACATCTACAAAAGCAATTCAGCTCGGAGTGGAGCACGATATGATCCCAAATTACTACTTCAAGGAAATATGAGATATGAGAGGAACAGACACAAAGATATTATTTGCTTGGCATCAAGCTGAGACCCACTCTCAGCCGGTTGTCGTGTTGCAAATCGATTTACTACGGGAAAGAGGAGCACGGAGATACCGCAGAAAAGACCTCCTCCAGTTGACCGAACTGTAGGAAAAGATCCATTTAACTGGACGTGTAAGGAGCTGCATGTTGGACTTCTTGTCAGTCAGTCAGTCTCTAAATACCTGACTAAACAGTCGTCACATTAACCTTCGCTGTTCATTTACCATTTCACCCATTATCTGTCAGACTGTGTCATTTTAGTCATTTTATTATATATTTTATCTTTAAAAAGTAGCTCAATATTGAGAGATTATAGTGAGATTACACTATACTTCACTATAATCTCCAGAGCTACCAAATTAAACACCTTATTAATCCAGTGATGCCTTTGTGGTTCCAGGAAATGTCGCATTGAAGCACTTCACTTCAAATCTACTACCAAGAGTCACATGATCAGCCTTTGACTTTTTGTCTTACTTGAAACAATCCTTTTACATTCTGTGTGAAGCAACATTGTGTCAATGATTCGTCTCAGCAGGTATATGATACCAGTGGCTGCTGTCAGTGTCAGCGACAGTTAGAACCATTACCTTACAGTGCTCAGTATTTGTATTCGAACAGTTTAAAACTTTGTTCAGTCTGCTACTTCACTGCCAAGGTCACTCATGTGTATCTGTAACTGTACAACAAGGTCATCAAGTGCTCCTAGGATCGATGGTGTCCCATTACAGAGGCTATAAAAACCCCCTCATTTATTCTGCAGGACAATGAGCCGACATATTCTCCTGTCTTTAACCCCTGATGGAGACATAATGGCTGGATATTGAAATGCTGGACCCTCAGCGGAGGGCTCTGTGAAGGGCACTGGAAAGGAAAGAAGCCTCACACGGTGCTCCATAGAATGAATAATTCAAGAGATTTAATGTTTTACACTTTTACTGTGAACCTGTCTAGAAACCTGCTGTTGAGTCCAGGTGTCTTAGCCTCGCTCTCACTTCCAAAAAAGATGTGATTTAATCTGTCTTACTATTTCTGTGAATTTCAGTGATGGATTGTCTAAACCCAAAACCTCTCCAGTGAAAATCCATGTCACAACCCTAACCCACTTCAAAAACTTCAGTGGAGCACTAAATGAGTGTGGTGTGTGCTGAGGTGTTGACAATATATTCTTTATATATTTTTGTATTTTTCTGAAGTTTGACGAATTTCTTATGCAGACAGTTTCCCACAAATTAAACTCGGGAAGTTTGATAATATCAGCCAACCGATTATATCGGCAGATATTAGCATATTATATAATATATGTAAGAATCGTTATTGTTTTTGCTCCAATAGTAAAAACCCAATAACACAATGCCTCTTTTATAAATAGCTTTGGGATTAACCCGCTGTATATTAAAGTGAACGTCACTAGATGGCAGCATTGCAGCTCATTTAATTAATCTCATAGTAATACATAAATAAATATTACCAGGTCTATATCCGTATCGGTTGATATTGGAAATGGAAATTAAGCGTTTGGACAATATTGGCATATCGAATATGGGCAGAAAGTTAATATCAGACATCTTTAAATAAAACTAAACCATAAATGTCTCAGTATTTTTACACGTGTTAGCATGTTGAGCTAACTTTGGTTGAGTCTGTGATGAGACCATATATATATATATATATATACATATACATATATATATATATTTATGTGTATATTTATTTAATACAGACAGCATTTTAAATAAATAAAGGTGGTCAATTTCAGCTTTAGTGTATTAGCAGGTGACAAGTTCAGACTGGAGCACAATCCTCCAGAGAAACTCTTGCATGAGATGTCACCACATCAGGGTGGGTGGACCAGGACAGGTCATTGGTGACACATTCAGGAAAGTTAATATTTGCCAATGACAGAGTGATTTATTCACCATGACAGTGGCCTTAGGTGATTGTCATGGCGGCAAGAATTTTGATCATGTGGAAAATGTGATGCGATTGTGAGACAGTGTCCAGTTGTCAAACTTTTAAGACTTTTAAACAAGTGGCTGTGGCTACAAACCGTTCAGGGAAATATTTTGTTGTTGAATGTGATTACTGATGCCACACAGTGGTGGTGGGGGGTTAGTGCTGTGACAAAATGACTGGTTCAGTGAAACCTGTGATTTTTCTTCTGGTGACAGCACTCTAAACCAGACCATGCAGACGACACCTGTAAAGGATAATACACATAGAAAAAATAAATGTTCAGCTCCTGATCCCTTGGGGGGGCCTGTCCCCTATTTTGGGACCCACTGTGCTAGTAGCAGTGACACCATCAATGCTTCCATTGGCTTTATGTCTGTACAGTATAGTGCCAGTACATCAGTCCAAACAGCTCACTTCCTGTTTCTTCAACAATCCCAGACTACAGTATATCTGCCCTTTTGACCTCCTAACTTTGCCTCAGTTCCCCTGAGTATTTGGCTTTCTCAGCCCCCTGGTGCCACAGCCTGGAAACTGCAGTGTCCAGACCGAAGTAAAAATGCTGCAGCTGAGGGAATTCACTCAAGAAAAGTAAAAAAACTAAGCCAGAGAAAGTAAATTTGTGGAGATGCTTTAACCTGTTTAATTCGCTGCCGGCCAGCAGGGGGCCATCAGCGTGCGTTTCATTGTCTTTTAATTACAAACAGACCTTCTGAAACAATTATTGTTCATGAACGCTGAGCTGATAATTTTTTTTTTTTGTAATTCTCTACGAGCTGCAGTGAATTAACAGCTTTAATTAAACACCAGCTGAGGAGAAAAGGCTGTTGTTGTTGTTGTTTTGTTTTTTTTCTTCCAAACACATCTCTTTGTGATATGCAGTTAAATTCTAATCGTCTCTCCACACGACTTTAGTCACTCTGTGAACTCCGGGGAAATGAGAGTGGAAAGAAAATCAGAATGAGAAGCAGAGCAGTAAAATCAGACATTTACTGGGCACCAAGTAAAATGGTCACCACTATTAAGGCTGAGCGATCGCAGCACTACCACTCACTCACAGGCAAGTGGTGAGAAGGATTTGGAATGATCATGTGACTGTCAACAAAATTGGAAAATCTGCCCGAAAACAATGGGAATACTTTAGTGTGATTATAGTTCATAAAATAGAAGGTTCTGGAGAAGAATAGAAGTAAAACTGCAGTAACAGTAAACCTAGAGGTTCAATTTTAATATTGAAAACAACATTTTTAGAATTGAGTGTATTTATAGTAAATGTTTATAGAAATATTCACTACATTTTATTTTTATTATTATTACAGTTTTATGAAACAATTTTCCTCAGGTTCTGGAGATTTTAAAAAAATAGGTATTGTTTAATTTTGTAAATGTAATAATTATTTAACAATTTGTTTATTTATAACAGGAAATGTTTTTTATAATGGGCAAATTTTTAATATTGTTTTCAGTTGTTTGAAAAATGTTTCTCCTGTTTTCCCAATGATCTATATTAAATTATTTTAATGATTTTAATTCTTCAGTTCATCTGTGCTATATCACCAGTTGTTTTCTGATTCAGTTTCGAGTATGTATCAATTTTCAGTTGTTTTATTTTTAAATGCAATGCATTAAATTGGCCAAACTTTTTGTATAAATC